CCCTGGGATTCATCCCATAAAAAATTAACAAGTCCCATACCAAAACCAAAGAATCTGTCCACAAAGTGCACAATCTTGTTCTACGTACATGTAGCTATTCAAAGTTTATGTTTCAAAAACTAAGTAATGACACTATCAAGTAACTCACATTTTCTATGTAAAAAAGAAGGTTATACACGTGTATGAGCCATTAATTAAGATAGAAGCCAGAGATATATATGTTTGTCTATGTTTATTCAGTAGACAACATGTCCTTAGCTTAATGGACTATGGCTCCCTAGATGACCGATGATGGCTTCATGGAGTTCTCAAATTTCCTTCCAGCATTTAACTCAATGAAATATTAAATTTCTGCACTGTTTCCCAAATACTGTTCATGTTAGTTATGAGAATTTAATGTCTTAATAATCAGGGGAAATTGTTTCATTTACAAATAAAAAAATTTCCCCCAACTGATATTTTTCCTGTCCTTGTTACCTTCCTGATCATTAGGAGAAATTCTTTGTTGGTCACTCCAGGAAGTGAAAGGGTTGTGAACAAGACATTAATTTTCTCGTTATACCAAGAAGCTCATTTGTTATAGAGTGGTATCGTACCTTGGCTGTCTAAGTTGCTGGCATTTCCATTGCTGATTTCCAAAGTCCCTAGAGTTTTGAGTGTTTTCTCTTTTTGTTGTGCTCCTGAATCATCACAAGTGTTTGGATCTTGCTCTTTGCCTAAAAGCAAAAATTAAGAAGACCCTTGTGACATACATGTACATGCACACAACTTTTGATCACAAATTTAAAATAGGTTATATCTAATTTTAAAATGTAATGAAAAACAGATTATACGAGCACTATCATGACCAAAACCCTAGTAAGACTACAAAAAATGGAAAAAATAAAACAAAGAACAAAATTTCAAATTAATAAGATTTTGTTACTCCTTTGTCACAAGTATGAGACAAAAATTAATGTGAGAACCCCACAAGGATTAAATGTGATGAGAATGGTAATGATTTCTGGGTTCATATGTCCTAAGTGTTCTGCATTTTGCTCGATGCTGGGACCAGCAGTATTGAAAGCACTAAGTGTGTACAAAGATTTCAGAAGATGGCGATTTTAAGCTCCATTATTGAACATAGAAAACTTTTTTATTAAGGAAAAAGTAGGGTTTCCAGAGAGGATTCAAACTTGAAACCTTAAAAGAAAAACTTGATTAGTTTGTTTCTGATTCAGCAGGTTAATTCTGCACAGAAAGTTGCTGGGATGCAGATTTTTGCATAAATTATACCACAAAGATTACATTAGTGTGAAACTATCACAAGAAATGAATTAACAGCAAACAGAAAGTTGGAGCTGCAACAACATCTTCTACAGAGAAAAATGTTAATGAAAACACTCATTAACAAATAACATTTATTTAATTTATTAGGGAGGGAGCTCCTTAACTTTTTTCTGTATTAAATCATTCAATAATACATTAAACAGCTAAGCTCTGCATCCCAGTTTTCTAATATCCAAAATGGCTGAAGTAACACACCTTCTTGGCTTGTTTCCTCATTATGCATTACAGATTCCACAGCATTTCCCTTGCCATCTTCCCTGCTCTCAGATGAACAATCATTCACTGGAGGTTTTGTTGTCTCAGTTTGGACTGAATCACTTTTTCCATTGCTAAAACCTCCTGGATTTTTAGCATCTGAGTCTTCTGTGTGAGGCTCCTTTTGGGATGTTCCAGAAGGAGTTGTTGTCTCAACATCATCAAGCTTTGATTCTTTGGTGTTTGATTCCACTACATTATCTTTAGCCTCTTCCGTATCAAAAATTTCTGTCTGTCCACTGTCCGCTGATTCTTCAGGCCTTCTACAGGAGACTTCCATGTTCTCTGTGTTATCCATAAGCTGGAAAGGCACAACATCACCTCCTCAAATACTTCACTTTCCAACAAAGATACCTGTGACTGCAAAGAATGCTGTTCCTTTTTTTAGCAGATGATCATTTTCATCCTTCATTTTCTTCTCTTTCTTTCTACTCCTCCACTTCCTTGTGTGTGTCATGAGACAATAATAAATCATTCTGTTTTTTTCTGTCTCTATATTCAGGAGTACATGTACATGCAATAGCCATAATTATCTGGTAAGCAATAATAAATGTTTTGCTGAAATATTTTTTTAATTTCTTTCTTTTGTTTTCATATAGTACAGTACTTAAAAACTTGGTTACATCTTTCAGTTTCCAAGGAAATTATCATACATACATGCATTTTTGTATGAAAATAATAGTAACACAGTTACTGTAATAAATCA